GGGGCCTAAGCAGGGCCCCAGCCCCGGCGGTCCCAAAGGCGGCAAGATGGCCTCAGCGGCCACCCTAAGCCACCTCACCGAGGCAGCGGGGAGCCCCAGAGGCCGCCAGCACCACCCACCCTACCACCAGCAGCACCACTAGGGGCCCCCGCCCAGGGGGCCCGGTGGCCACAGCAAGGAAAAGATCTCTGGTTCGGAGGGGTTTAAAACCAACTTGTCTTTGTTGAGGAGGCCTGGGGAGAAAACTTACACACAGCGGTGCCGGTTATTTGTTGGAAATCTTCCGGAAGGACAATAGGATAGAAATTAAGCTCAGGACAATTTGAGGAATGAGCCTTATCCAATTTTGAAATCATTAACATGAGTCTCTGATTCCCACAGGAGTCTAGAGCCTTGGCTGAAATCGCCAAAGCTGAACTTGATGATACCCCTATGAGAGGTAGACAGCTTCGGGTTCGCTTTGCCACTCATGCTGCTGCCCTTTCTGTTCCTAATCTTTCACCTTATGTTTCCAATGAACTGTTGGAAGAAGCGTTTAGCCAGTTTGGTCCTATTGAACGGGCTGTTGTAATCGTTGATGATCGTGGAAGATCTACAGGAAAAGGCGTTGTTGAATCTGCTTCCAAACCAGTAGCAAGAAAAGCCTTTGAGCGATACAGCGAAGGTGTTTTCTTACTGACAACTCCTCGCCCAGTCATTGTGGAACCGCTTGAACAATTGAATGATGAAGATGGTCTTCCTGAAAAACTTGCACAGAAGAATCCAATGTATCAGAAGGAGCGAGAAACCCCTCCTCGTTTTGCCCAGCATGGCACATTTGAGTATGAATATTCTCAGCGATGGAAGTCTTTGGATGAAATGGAAAAACAGCAAAGGGAACAAGTTGAAAAGAACATGAAGGATGCAAAAGATAAATTGGAAAGTGAAATGGAAGATGCCTATCATGAGCATCAGACCAATCTTTTGTGCCAAGATCTGATGATACGCCAGGAAGAACTAAGAAGTACAGCCGGATGGGCTACATGGATCCAAGAGAAAGAGACATGAGAATGGGTGGTGGAGGAGCAATGAACATGGGAGATCCCTATGGTTCAGGAGGCCAGAGATTTCCACCTCTAGGTGGTGGTGGTGGCATAGGTTATGAAGCTAATCCTGGAGTTCCACCGGCAACCATGAGTGGTTTCATGATGGGAAGCGACATGCGTACTGAGCGCTTGGGCAGGGAGGTGCGGGACCTGTGGGTGGACTATCTTTTCCAACACTTTAAAGACACAGCTTTAACTATATGAACATATATGTAAATAAGGCCACTCACTTGAACATTACCAGAAGTTGGAAAATATTGATTGTAACAACTTTAATACCTTTTCCTACTTTTCTTGTTTAGATACCAATCTTTTAAATTCTTGCATTTTAGTAAGAAAGCTACCTTTTTATGGATGTTAGCAGTTTATTGACCTAATATTTGTAAATGGTCTGTTCAGGCAGGTAAAATTATGTAATGCAGTGTTTGAAACAGGAGAAATTTTTTTTCCTTTTTATTTCCTTTTTTTTTTTAATCTGTATAATGTCCCTCAAGTTATGGCAGTGTACCTTGTGCCACTGAATTTCCAAAGTGTATCAATTTTCTTTTTTTTTACTGTGCTTCAAATAAATAGAAAAAAAAAAGTTATAAAAAAAAAAAGAAAGAAAATCTGAGATGTGTGAATTTCTGCATTCATTTTCTGTTTCTCTGCCTCATTTGCTGCTGGCTCCTGTGCCTATGGCAGAGGGATTCATGGGAGAGCAGGCAAAAGTCTTGAGCAAGACATCTTAGAGGTGTGGTTCTTTTGTGCTTACTCTGTCTCTTTGGCTGCTGAGGCATCTGCACTATGGGGGCCTATGACAGAGTGACACAGAAGGGAGGTTTCAATGCACACCTGGGCAATGGGTGGGAGCTGGGGGAGGGAATGCAGTAGCAAGAAGTCCGAAATATGCTGTTTTCTGCGTTCTGTCTCTCATTGCCACCGGCTCCTGCACTGTGGGGGCTTATGATGAAGGGGTGCGGGTAAGTTGAGGTTAAGGGAGGTACAGAGTGCATCTCTGTGGGCAAAAGGGAGCTAAAAGATGTCTGAGACATGTGGCCTTTCTATGCCCACTTTTTCCCATTGCCACTGGGTTTTGCACCACTGGGGTTTATGACGTGGGCTGTGATGGGGGAAGGGTCCAAAGCACACCTGTGCAGGTAAAAGTCATGTTGAAATCTTGTCTGTTTTTTCTATTGAATTTCTACTAATACCGTATTATTTGACCCTGCAACATTGATTCAAAAATAGCTGTGCAAGGCAAGCTTTGTTATTCCTCAGCCAGGCAACATGCATCAGCCTTTTTCTAGCTACTCCCTCTGTGCCACTTGTCTCTTTTGATATCACGAGGTCTGTTCAGTGTACTATCAACAAATGCTTTATATCCTGTAGAGATATCACATCTTGATCATTTTCTTTCCTTTTCTCTCTGTCTTTCTCTCACTCTCTTTTGGGCTATATGACATGTATGTTGTTGAGAGAGAGAGAGAGTGAAAAATCACCCTCGATGGGTGGCCACACTGCAATCACTTCTCCTTCTTCAGTCTCTCTTGGAAATTTGGGCATGCATGCACACTCACCCATTGTGATTTTCAAAGGTCTGGTACTTGAACCCTACAGTTGGCCGTTTGGGATCCAGGGCCCTAACCCATGCCACCTGCTGTACCACATCTTGTTACTAATAGGCAGTATTGGACTTTTGTGAATTAAATTGTGCATTTATACAAAAAGACCTGAAATGCTTACTGAATTCATAACTTTTTTTATTTTTTTATTTTTTATTTATTTATTTATTTTTGCCATTGGGTGTGTGTACTCACCAGAGGGGTAGAAAAACAGTGAGCTGGAAAGTGAGAAATCACCCTACTGAAAGGATGGCCATGACACAGTTCCTTCTCCTCCATTCTTTTTCTGGAATTTTGGGCCTGCTTGCACATGTGCCCAGCTTTTCTTTTCTTTTTTTTTTTTTTTTAAGAATTATTTTAACTTTAATGGATTATTACTTTTCAATTTGACCAGAGAGAGAGAGAGAGGGAAAATGAGAAAGGAAGTCATCAGATCCAGGATTTGAACTGTGGTTGACCATGTGAGAGTTCACTACCCTTAACCATCATTGCCTCATGCTGGCTGCAGCCCAGCATGATTTTCAAGCCACCAGGTGCAGGACTTGAACATGGTTGGCCATGTGGGAGTCCAGCATCTTAACCACCACACTACCTCCTTCAGTTCCAGATCTAGTTTCTTGAAAATTACACCAGGTGTGCGTGCATGCGCGTGCGTGTGTGTGTGTGTGTGTGTGTGCCAAAAATCCAAAGAGAATGGAAGAAAAGGGATTGTGGCATGGCTGGCCCCTCTGGGGGGGTGGTTTCTCACTTTTCTTCTGTCTCTCTAGGAAAGCATATGTACCTTATGGCAAATACCTTAAAAAAAGAAAAAGAAAAAGAAAAAAAAAAATGGACCTGTATCCAGTATGTATTGGACCTGTATCTAATACAATTTGTCACTGAAAAACATTACTGGAAAATTGTACTGCCATCAATATTTATGATGTACATGTTTTCCTTTTTTGTCATGTGCCAAAAATATTAGGTTGAAGGATGCATACATTCTCTGAGGCTTAGTCATATAGATGCAAGAACTGTTCTAGAAGAAATAATTATATGAAATGTCTGTATTATTAGGAATATAGTTCATACCGGCCAAGAGTTTTTCTGTAATACGAATTTTAAGGAAAGCAAGTTTCTTTGAGATACTGTAATTTATTTAAACAAACATTCTTAAACTCTTAGATTTTTTTTTCACAGTAACTTTTCTTTAAAAGATAAATTTTTGCAGTAGTGTATGTGCACTTGCTGGAGAGACCGAGAAAGACAGAGGGCAAGAAGTGAGCTGCCCCCGGGGTGGGAGGGGGGGTTGTCTGCTGCAATTCCATCTTCTTCATTCTTCTCTTGGGATTTTGGGTATATGCAATCACGTAGCCAGTATGAGTTTGTGTTTTGTTTTGTTTTGATTTGTTTTGTTTCAAATGAGAGATTTTTGCTGTAGGACATGTGTGCATGCTGGAGAAACCGACAAATTGAGAAATCACCTTCGTAGGGGAATGGTCACAGTGCAATCCCTTCTTCTCCATTTTCCTCTTGGGATTTTGGGCACCCACAGAAATCTGCTTGGTTTAAGTTTTAAGCTGTTTGATCCGGGATTCCATCCACGGACAACTACATGGGAGTCCAGTCATATAACCATTATACCATCTGCTGGTCCCCAGTGTGATTTTTTTTTTTTTTTTTAAGAATTTTGTGATAGGGTGTGTGTGCTTGCCAGAGAGACAGAAAGTAAGATATCACACCCCCAGGGAGGATTACCACTCTGCAATCCTTTCTCCTCCATTCTCCTCTTAGGATATTGGGCACACACAAACACATTCCCACCACGTCTGGGACTTTAACTGTGGTCTATTCGATTACGTGGGAGTCTAGCAACCTAACCATTATGCCATCTGCTTGTCCCCACAGTAATATTTTTACTAAATCAATAGGAAATGCATATTTTTTTAACCTAAGTTTAATATGGCCTGCATTTCTGTCAGTATTTCAATTTGTGATTGGTCATTCATAAGGTCTTTTAGCCCATTCTCATGTGTAAGTGACTGTTCTCCCAAAGGGAGGCTTTCTTTAATCTGTAGAGAGCTGTATATAGGGGAATATTGGAACGAACAACACCATTTCTCTGACCTACTTCATTTACCTTCTCTTCCAGCTATAATTTAAGAAACCTCTGTCCAGGATTAAGAAAATGAATCCATTTTTGGTAAGTTGTTTACTCATTTCCCCATTTGTTTTACATTGTATTTAGGAACTTTATGAGGGTTCATAAATTCAGATGGTAAAGTAAAAATAAACACAATTCAGCATGAGAAAAGCATAAAAAAAAAGATAAAATTGACATGGTGAAATAGGCAGGTTATAAGACCTTAGAGTCCTGTGAGATGAGTATTGGTCTCTGGTCTTTCTGATACTATGGGAAAAACACATCTATTGACTCTAAGGGGAGGGCATGCTAAATTCTCAAAGAATATGAATCATGAAATAGTTTCTATTGGTCACATAAATGACATGGTAGGCACTGTTTCACAACTAACCTGGAAATGAGCACTCAGTGTTCTACAGTGATAACTGTTACTGATTGCTAAAACACAAACCAGTCAATAGCTTTTTCTAGAGTTGCTAATATAGCATAGTGCCAGACAGCTCTTACAAGTACCCACTTGATGTATAGTTTAAACCTGGAATGTGTGGCAGGAATCTACTACAGGTTCCTAAAGAGCTATCCATAAATTTATCTCTAGAAGCAATATATAATACAATAAAGTTGCGGGATACAAAATTAACATCCAGAAATCTATAGCATTTCTATATACGAACAAAAAAGTTATTCCATTTACCATAACCACAAAAGTATAAGATACTTAGGAATAAATCTAACCAAAGAAGTTAAAGACCTCCACAAGAAAAACTACGAGAAGCTAAAAATAGAAATTGAAAATGACACGAAAAAGTGGAAGGTCACCCCATGTTCTTGGATTGGAAGAATTAATATAATGAAAATGGCAATTCTACACAAATTAATCTACATATTTAATGCAATCCCCATCAAAGTACCAGACACATTCTTCATAGATCTAGGGAAAACAATCATAAAATTTGTCTGAAATCATAAAAGACCCCGTATTGCCAAAGCAATCCTGTACAAGAAGAGAGGAGTGGGCAGCATCTCACTCCCTTACCCAAAAATATACTACAAAGCTGTGGTCATCAAAACAGCATGAGGGGGAAACCAGCAGTTAGCATAATGGCTAGGTCGCTGGACTCCCACGTAGTCAACCACGGTTCGCGTCCCGGACCCAGTGGCTTAAAACTCACGCCGGGCGCATGTGCGTGTGCCCAAGATCCCAAGAGGAGAATGGAGGAGAAGGGATTGCGGCGTGACTATCCCCCCTGGGGGGTGATTTCTTG